GGATCTTAGAGTATGATATATCGATTTCTTTTGTTCCAAAGTTCACTGTCCTCAAGAACCCCTCTAGTACTTATCAACCAGATCTCAGTTCTTGCCATCCTAACGCAGCATCCTAATGCCGGTAAAATAATACTCACCAAAAATCAGTAAACTTCACCTAAAGTATTTTCGTGGCACTTAATTTAGATGCCAACTATTATTCACTATCATTTAAATATGTTTGCACTTACATAATTATTTTGTTATTCAAAAGACCTTCCATTTCTTTATTTTGTTCCCAATTCGTGTGCCGCCATATTCCTTTACCGCACAAATTTGCACTCTTCACCCCATTTTGTTCGCTCGAGTACCTAAGCGGAAGCTGGTGATTGTTGAGGAAATTTAAATTTTCAATTCGAACCCATTGCCCTCATCAGAAATGGTGGTGGAACAACACAGCCATTGCGGCTATGTAGCCAAGCAGTTGGCCAAGAATAGCTTTCCAATACAAACCTTGCTGACCTTTATCGCAAGCTAAGCGTTGTCTTCATCATGTTTGCTGTTTTTGTTGTTGTCGTTGCAATCACTCCAAATACCAGCAATCTCTCTGTATGTGTGTGTGTGTGTTCGCCTTCAGATACTCGCAGTCAATATTGAAAGTGTTGCATTGAACTATCGGCCCGGACAAGTTGAATACGTTGCGCGCTGGTTTCGTGGCTTGATTGCCAGCAGCTGCTAAAACTGCTTAGCAAGCAGGCAGCAGACGGCAGGCGGCCACCAAAACAGCAAACAACGTACAGAACAACAACTTTGTTTGCAGTTTGTGTTGTTTATTCATTTCCGTTTCCTTGGCTCTTCAATTGTGGCACATCCGCCGCGCTCCGACAAACTTCGTCTAGTCTTGTGGATTTTCTTCTCGCTTGCGTCTTATCTGCGCATGTTTGTCGATAAGCTTAGACTGGGAAATTCGGTCAGTTTAAATGGTTAAAGTTATTTTGAATGAATCAGCTATTTTAATGGCTATGAAGGAGATTAAATTTGAGTGCTTATGGAGTGGTTGAGAAGGCAAAAGTAGAAGGGTATTGAATGGTTGTTGGAATATTTTAAATTACTCTGCTGGTTGGTTTTTCATTTCTAATGTATAAATTAAATTAGTTGGAAAGGAAAAGAACACACAATGTCTATGCGTAAATTTTCCTAGTACAGAAGTACTACAGCATCGTGTTACCGGAGACTTACCGCTGTCACAATGTCTATGCGTAAATTTTCCTAGTACAGAAGTACTACAGCATCGTGTTACCGGAGGCTTACCGCTGTTTTTATAGCCCTGGGCTTACGTATACATAATCTGTATTACATATATTGCAGAGTCTAACCTGGTGGCTCTGAAACACTGTCAAAGTCGAAGTTAGTAGTGCTCTCATTTCCGGCAGTTGAAGCGACTATCGGCAGTTGGAAGAAAAGCTCATTTAGCAATAACAGACAGGTATTAAGGGCCGACAGGTAGGCGAAACTCATGTCACCTTCGATCTCAAGTGGTCTACTAGCAAGGTATATGCTGTAATATAACATAGACACATCGGCGTAGCCAGAATGAGAAGAAGAAGAAGAAGATAGATTTCTCCTTCATTTTTGGCATTGAATAATTCAAATTTTTAAATGAAAACAATAATTTGTCTTTATTGGAATTTTAGCGTTGCTTACTTAAATGTTATTTCATGTAGCGAAGCTAGGCGGAACCAAACGAAGCTGATGGTGTTCACACTGAACGAAGCGAATCGGAGGTTTTCTGATGGACCCGACTGCAAGGTACCACAAAAATTACCATCAAGGAAACGCGGCAACAATATTTG